TCTCTCTCTCTCTCTCTCTCTCTCTCTCTCTCTCTCTCGATTTCGAAGCTCCACCGCCACCACCATCACCACCGTTGACTAAGGTGAGCACCACCGTCTACAATCTCAATTTCGTATTCTCTCTCTGGCAAGCTTTTCCTTCCGTCGATTCTTCTCCTAGGGTGAAAAATCTGTGTATAGATACACAGATTTTTCATAGCCAATCCCACTTCCTTTAGGCACTCTTGGATTGCCTTTTCTCGGCGAAACCATCTGCTTCATCTCCTATGCTTACTCAGACCACCCTGAGACCTTCATGGACTGACGTCGTCACATGTATGTCTATGTTTGATAGAGTTTATCTGAGTTCTTTATTTTTTATTTTAAGAATCTATTTTAGATTGTTTAGACTTTTACTAATAGTTTAAATAAGTTTAAAAAAATTAATTATCTTTCCAGGAAAGGACTGTCGATTTCTTTGACATGCTCTTATTTGGTGCTACTGTTTTAACTGGGATTGTTCTCATTGAGGGGATGATACCTTACGTGTCTGAGTCATTTGCCAAGATAATATTTCTGAGCAATTCATTGACATTCATGATGGTTAGTGTTTCTCTGTTTACATATAAAACATTTCTAATTGATAAACCCTTTATGCATTAACTGTTGTGGAAAGCTTGTTACATTTTGCCCCATTTTACAGGTCGATGTTTGGAGCAAGCAAAATCCTTTTATCCACATGAGTTTCTGGGGTCTCTTTACTTTTACGGCAGCTTACCTTCCGTGGGTGAGTGATTTCAGTGTGTTACTAACATGATTTTGTCAAAGTAATAGTGCAATGGATGATTGAAATTGATCTGCATTTAATACATTCAATTTAACCGCTCATTTTCTCAATAAAGGTTGCGCCGTTTTTAACGCTTTTAGTGGATAATTATATTAACCAAATTTATATATTTAGCTGACGCTAATAGAACACTTTCTTTTTCAGCAATTCTTTCTTAATTTTCATTAACCCATATTGGCACTACAAACTGCAGCAACCTTTGAAACTACTTTTACTGCATTATTTTGAAACCAATTGTAAGAGATACAAGGACCTCCAAAGCCCTTCTCTAGAATGGTACTTTGGTAAATGCAGTCATCAATTTTTCTTTAGAGGATGTTGTGTCTAGGTGTTTGAATCTGGTGGAGTCCTCTTTATTCTCCTCCACCAGAGGAGGTAATTTGTTGCTTTTCTTCGTGAGGCATTTATGTGGATAGTCTCTTGAAAAAGAGACAAAAAGGAATGGATATGATATGTGGGATGCCAATGTTATTCTGTAAAAGTATAGAAACAAACCGTGGCCCAAACTTGATTTTTTCCCCACTAGAAGAAGGTGCAAGATTCAAGTCTGATCTAGAGCACCAAAAAAGGGGGAATTATTGTGTATGAATTACCTTATGGCATAATTCTGTCGCTTTTCTTGCAGGCATTGGCATCTGAAAGAGAACTTGTCCTTGCATTGCTAGATCCCGATGCAATGGTTGATTCTGGCCCGGCTGCACGCCGATTCTCCTCCAAAGGTTTAGAGAGTGATATAGGAAAAAATGAGACTGACTTGACGTTTGTTCTAGACAGGATTTTTGAAGGAGTTTACCGGCCATTTAAAGTTAGAATTGAACAAGTTTTGCAGTCGCAACCTAGTATTATAATTTCATACAAACTTAGTAATACCCTGGAGTTTTACAGCTATACTGTGAGTTGAATGATAATCCACTTTTGGATGAATTAGTTGTCTTGTGGGTATTTCTTTGCTTGTTTAACAGTTTGTTCTCTTACAGATATCAGATTTGTTGGGGAGAGAAATAGCCCTTTGTAACACACTTTGGGCACTAAAAGATGCTTCTCAGAAAACATTCTTTGACATTCTGAAAACTCGAGGAGAGAAGCTGTTACGGTATCCACCCGTTGCTGCTGTTGATCTTTCCCCACCACCTGCAGTGAGGGAAGGAGTATCAGTATTGCTTGAGATAATTGAGATGCATGATGGCATGATGGTTCCTGCTTCAGGAAAGAAGTTTGACTTTGATCCGGTGATATCTGCATTACTAGATCCTATTATTCAGGTGTCTTATGCTTTACATTTGATGATGTTTTTTCCCTTATAATTGACAGACCTGCTCCTGGTTGCTTCATTTTGAGTCAAATATAAAGTTCATAGGTGCTAGATATCTGCAAAATTTTGAGACAAATACAAAAATTTTACATTCTAATTATAAGCAAATTTTATACCCACAGTATTTAACTTTTGGGTAAGTTACACTTTTCATGTTCAGACATCTGAATTTCACTTTGCTCACTCATCTTCTAATTGTAGCAATTAAGTCCTTGGACTTAAACTCATGCTTCAATGTGGTGCTTCATCACTCACCATTTAAAATTTGGACGGAAAATTAGTATTAATCAGTTTTGATTCAATAATATTGGGAGTGTTTAAGGCTGTGGCCTCTTGGGTGTTTCTTCTCTCTCTCTCTCTCTCCCCTATTGTGTTCTACATCAATTTGGCAAACAGAGCTTCATCCTATTCCACCAATTTGATGTAAAAATTATTTTCTTTATGTTAATGTGGATCAATTTATCGTCTTAACATGGGTCTCACATCAACTTGACTGCATCAATTGCTCTCTCTCTCTCTCTATATATATATATGTAATCTATGCATATTTCCAATTATTGCAGATATGTGAACAAGCAGCAGAAGCACACAAGTCCAAAGGAGCTATTCCTTCCTTTAGAAGAAATAGAACTACTTCTGACCCAAGCCAACTCAGTAAATCATCTGTTGATGCAATTTTGGCAAACAGCAACACTTTAGCTACGTCTCAGGTTTGTATTTGCTTACGCCTTGTATTCTCATCTTGTTAGATATCAGATTTCTCAATGCTTGTACTGGAATTTCGTTTACTTTATGCTGTGCTGCTCGTGAAAGTTGTTTGTACATTTATATTACATGGTTAATAGTTAGACAAACTGATTGCTGGTTTAGAAACAGCTGTAGGTTCCAATTACACGTGGCGCATCAGACTTCAGTCTGCAAACTATATATGATTGGGTGACCTAAGCTGTTCTATTGAATTCTCTGGACTTTTTTTGTCTCAATTTATCCCCCTTTTTTTACATTAAGCAGATCACTCATTTTTGTGAGACAGAAAATCTCCAAACAATTCACAGTTAATCTCCCCTAGACTTTCTGTTCTTTCCTACTCTTCTTTGCTAGTTTAGAACCCAATAACATGATTTCGTATGAATTATTTTACCTGATAAACTAAGATCATAATAACTATCATTAATAGTCCAAAGTAATGATGAATCATATTACATACACAGTAATTATGTTCCCTAATCCTCATTAATATATTAGTAAGAGTAATAATTATGTTTCTAAACCCTTTAAAGATGTTACTTATACTAAAGAAGGTCCATATGTTCTATTCAGATTGCTTTTCAAGTACTAGTGAAGGCATTGGTTAGCATGGATGCAGGTGATGACAATGACATTTTTATAAGTAAAAGTCACCTTGACAGATTTTGATTTTAAAGTGATAGGCTCACAACTCAACACGTTGTTCTATATAATTTTTCGTATGTATTTTTTTATTCACTACCCATTAGATCTTAGGACCACTGAATTTAGAAATAGGAAATTCAATTATGTTGTATGGTTTGTGAAATACTTCTCTATGCAAAAGTTTGATTGTGGCTACTTAGGTTAGGGTTTTAGCCTCATTATCAGCCCTAAAATTGGGGCAACGATAATGAATAAACTGTTTTATAGTGCCAATGTAATGGACATTAGCTCTTGAAAATTGAAAATAGTGAGGAATCTTAATAAATTTTACTTGCAGGTCAAGGTGTGATGTGTGTTCTTTGTATTTTGTGCTTTGTATCCCATTCAACACTGCTAGGGCCCAATGACTAAACATGTGGCAGCTATGCTTACTCGGGAGAAGGAAGTGAAGAGTTTGACAGGGATGATAATACTTTGACACTTATAAAACCATCTCCTATGCCTTCAAAGGATATTATTTGAAGTCCACTTGAAGTCGGATCATTACACGGTGGAAACAATGGGATATCGAACGGTGATTTGGAAGAAGACAAGACAGAATAATTTGAAACCCAACTCTATTTGATTGTGAGAAGCTATTTAACTCTGAATGATCATCATGATGGATATGAAGTTGCTACTTGTAGAATTTATGTGAGAGGAGAGAGAAAAAGCCATTGGAGGGAATATGATGAAGCTTTTTTTATTTGTTCTTGTTCTTTTACTTTTTCCCCCCTCTAATTCTTTTTATCTTGTTTAATTGGATTATAGCGTACTGTATGGTTCCAAATGTATCATCTATTGCATATAGCGTAGGCTCATCTTTGGATATAGTTGGAAGACAAGTGGTATTTTTAATATTATAAGCCATATTAGTGTGCTTTCGATTCCTTTTTAATTTTTTTGGGCAAATTATACTTCTTGACCATTTTGATTTTAATTGATGTATTTAAAGGCTGAATTGTTTCTATTCTTAGGTATGCAATGCATTGTTTCTTATTTTTAATTTTGTTTTCAAGCTTAGTTTATTTATTATTTTAATAAGCATCAATTATTAGTTCTTGATAATTGTTTAACAGGTATTTTTTTTTGTTCAACCATATAAAATTAGCACAATTTAAAAATTAAAAAAAAAAGGCTATGGCTGCGTTTAAAAAACGTCACTATATCCCACCCCAATGGCTAGATTTTTAAAATGTATAAATATCTATGACGGCGTTTTCAAAAACGTCGCTAAATGTCATAGTGACGTCACAATACAACTAGGGTAGGACATTTGGCGGCGTTTTTAAAAACGCCGCCTATACTAATATAACGACGTTTTTCAAACGCCATAAAGTTATAGCGACGGCCGCGTCGTCGGCGTTTAGTACTAAACGTCACAAAAAGAATTAGCGACGTTTTTAGTACTTTTAGCGGCGTTTTTAAAACGCCGCTAAAAGCAGATTTTCCAGCAGTGATTCTTTCCTTCCTAGAAAAATCGTTTTTATGTAACCTAGAAAAATCTTAATGGAGGAGAAAATGAAATTTCCGTGACTGCACTAATCACATCTTATAGGTTTTATCTTTTTATTTAAAAAAACAGAAACACTATATATTTTAATATAGTTTTTTTATTCTAAATATATATATATATATATATATTGAAATAGTAAAGAAGAAACAATTTTATTGATGATAATCAAGTAATCATACAGTGATATCAAACAATTAAAACAAAGGTGCAGAGAGCATCCTAGTAAAAATACAACGATCTCAATTAACTTGTTACTGAAAAACTTACACAATCATCTGTTAGCACCACAAAATTAGTGAAGAACCTACAAAAATTAGAATATCCCAGAGCAAACAATCCTCTTAGCCACCAAACCTAAGCGGCCCACTACGTCCGAGACAAGTGACTAAAAAATATAATGCATTAAAAGAGAAGCGACTTATTTTCTTTTGGTTTTTTTAGAAACTTGGTGCTCCAACAAGGGCCATCATCAAGATATCCATTGTCGTGTGGAAGAGAATTTCAATTTCGGTAGGAGTGAAATTCAAGTGGATTTAGACCGGTTAAATGTTTGTCTTTAAACGTGGTTTGAATTATGTTGAGTTTTGTCCAATTCCATCCAAGCTTGACTTATAATTCAAAATTGTCTACTCAAGTCCTGACCTGAGTTAGGCATGAATTACATGAGTTGTCCAAATTTTACACACACGCACACACACATATATAGGACAAATTATACCAATGATCCCTACATTTTATTTTTTTGTCATTTTGATCCCTACATTTTCATATTACAATATCTAAAAGTTTTGAAGACCAAACATTTTTATCTCTAAAAGTATAAATTTTGTTGCAAAAGATATTTGTGGACTAATTTCAGTTATCACAAATATAATCGCTAAAAGATCGTTCCGAAAAATTAAAGACAAGACTTTTAGGAATAAAATTTTGAAAATAACGCTAATAAATATATTTTTAGGGACGAAATAATTTGGTCCCAAAAAGATTTAATTTTTAAGATAAAACTTTGGGTCCCAAAAGGTTAGTAATTCATCACTAAATATATAATTTTGTCGCTAAAAATGAAATAATAATACTTTTGGAGTCAAAAATATTTTGTTCCTAAAAAGTGATTTTGTTCATAAATATTTATCTCGGAAACCTTAATTTCATGTAGTATCAATTGGCTCAATTTTGATCCTTAATATAAATTTTGTGTCAATTTAGTTCAATTGATAATATCATCAGTGCTTTTTACAAAAAATTATCAATAAATTTGTTGAGGTTAACTCAAAATTAAGCCAATCGAAAGTGTAAAGACTAAAATGACATAAGAGGCAAAATATGGAGATTACCATTTTAATTTAACACCCCCCCCCCCCCCCAAACCCCCACACACACAAAAAAAACTCAAGATTTTAGCTTGTAATAGCGGTGAATTTTAAATCTTGTCAATTTAAATCATAATCTTTTAAATTTAAACTACCCATTTATTTTTGTTAACTATAACTAATTAAAAACTAAATATATTTTAATAATTAAATTCAACTGTACCATAATATCATTTTTTGACATGTTTGAAATCTGGTGCCGTGCAAATGACAGGTTACGAAACACACGTTTTAAATTTGGACTCTTTATATCAATCTTTAAAAAAAAAATTAAAAATTGGACTCTTTATCTTTATTCAATTCATATTTTGAGTAAATTACATTGATTTCATTCACCAAAAAAAAAAAAAATTTAATTAATTAATTAATTAGTGACATCAAGACTTTCTCAGTTATTAAAAAAAATATTACTTTGACCGTCTTATCTTTGAACTTATATATTTGGATATCCTCAACTATAAAAATGTATCAAAGTGATATTTAAAAGCAATGTATTTGCAATATTTTTATTATTGAGGGGGTTAATGTGTATAAATTCATAAGTAAGATAGTCAAACTAATATTTATTAATAGTTGATGGGTTTTTGTGTAATTAACCTAAAAATAAATTACACTGATTTCATTTTTTTTTTGTTCTTCACGCTGAAGTTTGAAAAATGACGTGTTGAGGTGTTATTACTGCATTCATGGACTCACGTCCCGGAATAATTGATTACTGACCTAATTGAACCCAACTTATAGAAAAAGACCTACCACCAATAGAGTTCAACCACACTAATTTCACTGATTCTCTGGATTTTTCATATAAAACCACATCAATAAATAGTAATATTTAATATTAAATTACTCAAGCATTAACAATTATTATAGGCAAAGAAGATAAGATATGATTGGACTTAAGAAAATTTTTGGGGGATTTGCTCACTATCTAATTTGTCTTTCAAAAGGACAAGAATTATATAAGTACTTTCAAAACCCCCTAATATTTTAAAACTTGTTTATTTTACTATAATACCCTCATATCTATCAGCTCTCCTATTAAACCATCTTCACTGTGTATTTCAGAGTAAAATTTTACTCTGTATAAAAGTAAAATTTTACTCTGAATAAGAGTAAAATGTTACACTCTGAAACTAAAGTAAAATTTTACTCTATATAAAAGTAAAATTTTACTCTGAATAAGAGTAAAATTTTACACTCTGAAACTAAAAGTAAAATTTTACTCTGTATAAAAGTAAAATTTTACTCTGGTTCTGTCAAATGAAAAAAACAGAGCAATAGAACCAGAGTAAAATTTTACTCTAGTTCTATCAAATGAAATTAGATCATTCACAACCACTGTTCTTCTGTTTTTTCATAGTTACTTGCCTCTTTCGTATCACCTCTTTAGCTTCTCTGTTATCTATTACATATACACAATCCATATTGCTCACTCACGACACAAAAATTTATCAAAATCAAAAATAATTTTACAACAAAAAGTTGAGAGAACATAGTAACAATTCATCAATAGATCAATTTAAGAACTTAACAACACTATCCAAATGAAAAATCTCTCTCTCTCTCTCTCTCTCTCTCTCTCTCTCTCCCTCTCTCACTCTCACTCTCACACATACACAAACACACACACACACACACATATATATATATATATGAAAAATCTGAAGAACTGTGTTCAAATATGAAAATTTTAAACAGTCGCACGATTTGTCTCTGTACTCTTTCACAATTCTAATTCTTTGTCGAAAACTTGATCTAACAGGTCTCTCTTATACTAAAAAATCATTCAAATCTCCGATCTTAAAGACTCAAAACACACACACACACACACACACACACACACACACATATATATATATATATATATATGTATCAGTGCGATTTGCAGGAACTGTGTTTGATCAACGGTTGCTGATGAGGGATTCGCCGATTCTACAACGATTCACGTAGGTCGATCATATATATTCGAATTCAAATCTCAAAATACACAAACACACACACACACACACACACACACATATATATATATATATATATCTATATCTATATATCTCGGGAGATTAGAGATCGGAATCGTTCATGGTGCATAGATTTGACTTGAAACCCTATATCGAAAAAGGTGCACAGATTTGAGTTGAAACCGTATATCGAAAAAGGGAAGAGAAGCTTGCGGAGGCTCTGGAGGATGATGAAGTCATGGAGAGGTAACGGTCGAGGACGAAGTCGATGGAGGGGTTGCCGAAGGCGAAGGTGTTGCCGGCGTTGGAGAAGGTGATGACGGCGGCTTCGGTGCCGCACAAGTTGCAGAGCTCGCCGGTCTTCTTGAAGAGGCCATCTGTGGAAAGGAAGAAAGTGGGGAAGAGAGTGGGTATAATAGTCATATAAAATATTTAAATAATAAATTTGTCCTTCATGCAAGACTTTATAATTATGAGGGGGTTTAGAAAGTATAATTTTTTTCTTAGTCCTTTTAACAATGAAAGGAAGGTAAAAGGGGTTTATAGCCAAATTTCCCAAAATTTTTTTAAGGCCCAAACAGAGACAATCCTAAAAATGATGTAACATTGTCTGTATTTAAATAGGCC